CTCTCCAGGCTCCATCACATCTCCAGGAATTTCCCACCTGGGGTTGGCAACCCTATCTCCTTCCCAGCCAATCATCAACCTACCTTTATTTCCCCCTCACTCTTCAGCTTTCCGCCCCCCACACACCTGCAGCCTCTCCCGTGCTCTGAAGCCCTGACTGCTACGTCACAAGGATACAGAGCCCACCATTTTCTCCAGGGGAACTGATCTCTGCCATCTAGAAAGCAATTGTAATTCTGAGTGATCTCCAGCCCTTACCTGGAGATTGGACACATTTTACCTCAGAAGAGCAAACTGTTTAGAAAGTTAGAGGCAAAAGCCAATCAAGTCGCATATGCAAATGACCTCTGTGTTCCAAGGCAAAGGCCAATGAGGCTGCATATGCAAATAACCTCTGTGGTCTGACTGGCTATGGGGGGGGAGGAACAGCAAACTGTTTAGAATGTTGGAGGCGAGACTCAAGCAATGCAGCCAGTGGATAGGGACAGATTCTGAGTGACACACCAGGGCGCCAACCAATTCCGGAGCGTGTGGAATGTTCTAGAGAAGTGCCACCACCATTCGGCTTTTATATATAAGGCAGATTAGCTTTTAGCAGAAAATGGCATTAGCCTTGCTACTTTAGCATCTACCCAAGTATATACCTGAAATATAAGCATTGCTACTTTGTTCATCAGTTGTATGTGATGTGATTTGCTTCTTGAGATTCAAATCCCAGATCAAGTCAGTCATAACAGAAATAACTGTATAGGAATACATGCAAAATGTTTTGTATGTGCAAGAGATTTTGGATAAAGCACCTTCACTTTGAGCCAAACCCTCTTTAAGATCTTTTTGCTGGTCTGTACCTGTACACTTCTGAGAAAAGGCATGAATCAAGTTGAACTGTGCTGGAGAATATGACGGAATTATTTGTAATGTAAGGGCAGGGTAGGATTTGACAGGAGACAAAGAAAATGTATTTCTCACTCAGAACAAAGAAATCCACCCTGGAACAGAAACCTCCCTTGGACCAGAAATGCATCGTTGAAACCTGCTGGGGCTTGAGAAACAGTGTTTTACTACAGACTGGGAGACGCCCAAAGGAAATCCTTATACACTGTCCGTTTCCTTAAAAGGGTATTTACAGTCACATAGGGGCATGTACCTTCCCATGCTAAAATCATAAATGCAAAGCATAACTACCAACTGTTGAAAATATTTTAAAAGTAGAGACAACCCTTCTTATTCAGCAATTCATTTTCCCATGGCATATTCAGAAGCCTAATTCCAGTGGGGAAAATGTATCTAATGAAATGGGCTCTTGCCCATGGACGTTTATGCTTCTATATTTTGCATTCCTAACCACATTTACTGTGGAGTAAGTACCGTCAAATCATTGGATCTTAATGATGAATAAGCCTGCTTAAGATCATGTTGCACATCTCTTAGTGCTTACGTTGCCACAAGGCTCTCTCTTGTTTTTGTTTGAAGAACACCAGTGATATGAATTAATGAATGCAGGTTCACAATTCAGCTCTCACTTTGTTTGTTCACTTGTTTAGAAGGTTTCTATGCTACTTCTTTGGAGAGCCTGCCAGAGCGGGCTGACAAAATAAAACATAATAGAAGCACAACACAATAAAAGTTGCTAATAATAATAACCCCAGCATTAGAAACACAGGACTTCAAACTGCACATAACATTGAGCAGCTTAAAATGAGCTTCATAAAACAGTTATCAAGCTTTTTTTTAAAAAAAAAAACCCTATAAAAATGATGTCAAAAGATCACCTTCCTTAATTGAAAGCCTGGGTTAAAAGAAGCATTTTGGCGTGACACCTATAAGAGAGTTTGGTAGGTGTCAGATGAGCCTCAAAGGAGATGGCATTCCACAGGTGAGGTGCTACCACTGAAAGAGCCGCATCTCTGGTCATCACCAGCTTCACTTTTGAAGGTGGGGCACAGAGAGCAGGACTTGTGAGGAAGCTCCCAGAGCTGAGCATAGGGTTGCCAGCTCTGGGTTGGGAAATACCTGGAGATTTGGGGGTGGAGCCTGGGGAGGGCAGCATTTGGGAAGGGGAGGGGAGTGACCTCAGCAGGTATAATGCCATAGAGTCCACCATCCAAAGCAGCCATTTTGTCCAGGGGAAATGAACTTGGTTGTCTGGAATAATAATAATTATCATTTGGCAGGGGGTGTAGTATAGCCAGGAGATCCGAAGATTGTTTGGCAACCTGAAATTCCAGCTGTTTTTGTGGCAAGCTAGGTTTTAGTTTGTTTTTAGCTGAGGGAACTGTGACTGACCCAAGGTCACCTAGCTGGCTTCATGTGGAGGAGTGGGGAATCGAACCCACTTCTCCAGACCAGAGTCCGCCACTCTTAACCACTACACCAAACCGGTTGTCGGTTGTCTGGAGATCAGTTGTAATTTCCTGGAGGTTAGCAACCCTAGCTGGACAGTATACATCCATAACCCTCTTTGTACATTATAAGGCTAATGCTATTGCCCTGGCTTATTTTACATGTCTGAATTCTCTAGCAGTGCTATACAGTTGTTTTGGGAAGGACTACAACTCACAGTGATTTGTGATCAGATCTCATGATATCTTTACTTCAGAGCAGCTGTTTGTTGACTGCTAGTTTGATTAAGAAGACTGGAGAGTGCTAGAAGAGGAGATGGTTATCCATTGTGCTGCTTCTCTAATATTGCCGTTAAAGCCCTACATGGCCAGGGTCCGACTTACCTGAGGGACCGCCTTTCCCCACATATACCCCCAAGAGCACTTCGGTCGGGGACACAACATCGCCTGGTGATTCCAGGCCCCCGGGAGGCAAGGCTCGCTGCGACCAGGGCCAGATCCTTCTCGGTGGCGGCCCCTACCTGGTGGAATGAGCTCCCAGAGGAGATCAGGGCCCTGCGGGACCTTATGCAGTTCCACAGGGCCTGCAAGATGGAGCTCTTCCACCAGGCTTTTGCATAGGGGCCGTCATTGCCACCACCACCAATGGTCTGGATAACAACGGGGCTAGGGACGGCCCCAGGAAGATCGTCTACAACACTACGTGGCACTGGTACCACTGGACTTACTTGGGACCAACTACAGGACAAGATCACCCCCAAAGAACTGACTTACCATCATGAGATTTATTTGGGGACCATCATGTTTTCATGGAAAACTTTACTTTTATCTGTGTTATCTAATGGTTTTATTGCTTTTATTATGTTTTATGTGGGCTCTGCCCCTTGTAAACCGCCCTGAGCCCACTCATGGGGAGGGCGGGGTAAAAATTTCAAAATTAAATAAATTCCTCTCACCACAGCTGCTGTTAGCCCCAGTGTAGAAAAATATTGTGTACCTATATGGTGCTGGCATTTTTTTAGTAGTAAAAAGGGATCACCAGTACCCAGTTTGCAAAGATGTTGTAAATATTACTGAGAGGATGCCTGTCAGTACAATTGAACAAGTGTTATTGTTTGGAAACTTACTGTTGTGTGTGGAGCTGCCCATTCTGTAAAGGTAAATTAGAAAACCACCTACTGGGGGGGGGAGAGATTTACAGTCACAGGAAAAGGATTTACCTATGAATGTTAGAATAGAAAAATGTATTGGTTCTGGGGAAGTGTTAGCTCTAGATTGATTTAGACTGGTCTTAAAGAATGTTTTTATAAAATACTTTTTCAATGCTATCTGACTCCCCATAGATTAGCCTTCAATATGTAATTCATTGCAGGATAAATGTTGGAGTTGTGGTTCATCGTTTGCTGATATATTTAATGTATTTTGGACATGCTGTAAGATACAGGTGTTTTCGAGAACTGTGGTCCAGTTTGTTAGTGAAAAGCCAGGGATCAACATACCCCCCTTGAAGCTAGGATAATACTACTAGGATACTTTTCAAGGCTGAAAGTACCTTTCAGGCTGTGTTGATGCATCCGATATGCAGCTAGTTTTCAGTCTGTTCACTGTTGCCAAGATGATTATAGCAGCAAATTGGGAAAAGGCAGGACACCCTTCTGTAAATGAAGGGTTTAATAAAATCTGATGTATTGCTATATTATCAGAGGGGTCACAGAATTTTGTTTTTGAATTAGCATTAGGAAAGAAGATTGGGCCCCTCATGACAGTAGAGATGTCTTTGAAAATATAGTTATAATAAAATGTGGAGAATTCTCCATTTCTCACATTAAAAATGTTTAGTTTATCTCTTTTGAATGTGAATGTTTATTTCTAAGTTTGTTAGTGTGCTAAAGAAAACACTAAAATAGTGTTAAGGAAAACACTAACTGTAATTATCAATAGTACTGCATTGCTGAATTGTTGATGTTTACTGAAGGTGAAACTATATGCTAATAATAGGGTTGCCAACCTCTAGAGGGAGCCTAGAGATCTCCCAGAATTACAGCTCATCTCCAGACGATAGAAATCAGTTCCTCTCGCGAAAACAGCAACTTTTGAGGGCGGACACTGGCATTGTACCCCACTGAGGACCTGCCCTCCCTCAAGCCACACTGTTCTGCACAAAATCTCTGGGAATTTCCCAACCTGGAGATGGCAACCCTAGATTAAGAAACATGGGGCTAACCTAAAAAATGGCAGCCTTGAGACAAATTCCCCCTCTGCCATGTATAAATGGAACTTTCCTCGCAATATGATGTCCTGACAGCATTTCACTGAGAGTTTGCTCAGCATAACTGGCTGCAGACAGCTTGGCATGATGCCATCAGGGCACTTTGTAAGTTGCAGCAGAGGAGAATGAGGAAATTCAACCTAGAAGCAGACCTGTATTAAAAAAGCTGTTTTAAAAAAGTAAAGGGGGTCCCCTTTGGGGGTTATGGGACCTTGATGGTCAAAAACTGTGTGAAACGGGCTGGAGTAAGAAAAGGAATTCAGTGAGACTGAGTAAATGAACAGACTGGATCCAACCCACTGATTTTCATTTCCACTGAATAAATGGGCGGGATGTTGCCTGTTCGTGTATGTTTTTTAAAAGTTTTTTTTTTTCCCATTCTTTTGCAGAGTTGCATGATTCTTGGAAATGGGCTTCATGTGCAGGTAGGAGACTATGGAATCACAATGTAAAGAGGCACAAAGGATGGCCAAGCAACTCAGATGATTGGATAGTGATGACTGGGTGGGGAAGCAAGACCACTAGCTGGCCTGCCAGTTCTCTGAACTGAGAAAACACGTGTGACCTTCTACAGAGTACTGTTATTCCCAGTATTTTTGAAATTCATATACCATCCATATGCCAATTTATAATTTGCATCCAAAAACAACATAAACATTAAAGCCTGAACAGTTATTCTTGCTGGCAAGGAAGGTGAACAAAGCAATGTAGTGCCAAAAACCTGAGTAGAAAAGTTCTAGAGCAAGGGTATCAAACCTACAGACCATGAGCCAAACCAGCCTGCCCAGGCCTTTATTCTGGCCAAGGAGTGGGGCTCTCTTCTCTCTCCGCGTCCCTGCCCATCTTCACTGTTCTGAATTTGAGCTGCCTTGGAGTATAGAGAACAGGAAGCAGTGGGTGGGGCTCTGTAGTCCTCCTCACAGGTAGGAGCTGAGGGGGGGTGCTTCTTTTTTATTTTAAAACTTACTTTGCAAAATCCCACTATTCCCCCCACCTTTCCAGTTTAGGCAGGCACGTTTTAGGGAGGGGGGGTTGGGACCAGCCAGGATTAAAATATAGAGTTCTGCAAACTCAAGGGGCTCTAGTTATGCAGAGAAATATTAGTTTTAACACACACATCCTCCTTATGTGGAGTGCCAAAGGAATGATAGCAGAGCAAGTGCTGAAGGGGATACCCAAAATTATCTCAAACTACCCTGTAAAAAATACCCTGAGACCCTGAAGAGCCACTGCCACTCTGAGTAGACCCGGGGGGGGGGGGGCCGGAACGTTTGTAGGGCCCCTCCTTCCTTT